TGAATTTTTGGACAAGTTAATATGCAGTTGCTATCACCCTAAATTGAATCCAGGTTTCACAAGAAGAGGAGGTATCCTTTTAATTTAATCTAAGATCATCTTAAAGAAATGTAGGTCTAATGTAAGACAGTGAATTCTTTTAAGCCACAATCCTATGTGTATTTAGACATAGGTCATGCTGGGAGTTGTAGGACTTGGCAGGCAGGGGGCTTCCTGGTCACAGGGTTTGATTATCAACTCTGGAAGGAAGTTTTGGGACCAAGTGAGGCATATAGTGATGGGGAAAGGGATATAGGGAATTGGTTGGAGAGCTAGGCAGAAAAGGCAAATGTGGCCCAGGCAATTAACAATTGTACTGTGTTCCAGCTCTTCTTGCAACTCCAATTCAGCTAGACTTTGGGACTTTAGATGCTGCTTCTATAAATTCGATGCTCTTCTTTCCTCTTCAACTGAATTCTATAGTCTTGAGTTCCTAACAGGAAAAAGGCAGGAAAGGATGAAAATAAATAAATAAATAAATAAATAAAGTCTTAAAACTGCAACATCTGCTTTATCAATTGGTAGATTAAGCAGGCAATAAACTTTTAGCCTCAAAAATCTTTGAAAGAGAATAAATATGAATGCTTAAAATAATATACTACACGAGAACTCCTTGTATATGTGTAAAGGTGTGTGCGCGCATGCGCGTGAGTGCACACACGCACGCACACACATACACAGACACACACAGAGAGGGTAACTGTGTTTCCAGTCACATTGGAATTATAGCTAATATAGCTTGAGTCTGAATTTGGAGGGATATTTTCTGTTTTCATTAGATTTGGATTTATCAGTTTGTTTAATGCATTTGCATACTGCCTCTTAATCAAATGGTTCCCAGAGCAGTTCAGAATATGAGAAATAGCTAGGAAAAGAATAGAAATTAGAATAAAAACAAACAATAATAAAAATACCATAAATTAAAAGCAGAATGTATTTAATTAAAAGCAGAAATTTAAAATATACAATATTCCTGACTACAGTAACTCATAATAACCAAAGTATGTTTCTAAATTGTCTATGGTCTATCAGAATTTTAGGCAATTGGGTTGAAAAGATGCACTGACACTGCACAAATGTAACTGCATTTAGTCACACATTCACTGTTTAAAAGAACAAGCCTAGCACTTTCACCATCAAAATAAAAACATCTCCTGCCTTCAAATACAAATAAAATGTAGCTGAAGAGTTGGACATGTAGATAGGAGGCAGACGTGTCTAATTCTAAAGAACATCCCTTATTTTAACTACCCATGCTCCATTGTTATGCCCTGGATGACTTTCCTCTTTGTGACAGCTTCTCTATAAGGCTTCCCCAAAGAAGAATTGCTGATAGCCAGCCTATCACGAGTCAGGATAAACCTTCTGATGCACCCTAGCCTGTCCAGCTGCCTGTCCAGAGCTTCTCAGCCTTATTGCCAAAGCCCTCCCTTCAGTCCAGCTTTCGGAAAAACTAACAAGAAAGGTGCTTTGGATTTTCTTGCCCGGGAACACAGGACTCAACAAAAGGAATGTGAAACTCCTAAAAGGACAAATGGTAGTTTTGCAACAATGAAGTCCTTTGTGGAGGGAAAGGTTTAGTGAGAATTCTGTTTTAGAAGAATGTCCAGGTAGAAAAAAGGAAATTAATCGGTTTGTTGGGGGGATGGAGTGGAACAAGAGAAGGTGACAATTACACACACACACACAGTATTCCAAATAAAATCAAAAAGTCCATCTAACTTACCTAGTCCCGTGTTACCTACTTCAATTGATTCTTGTGTTCTAGAGCATATGCAGTGATCATTGCAGAGAATATGGGCTGAGACAGATCATCTAAACTTCCAGTCAGATGGTACAGAGAAGGTTCCTGCAGAGTAGATGGAATCTTACTTGTATGGCAGTCTAGGTTCAGTAAAAGACCACCTATTGTCTAAACAAGCAATACCCTTCGTTTCTGATGTTAGTGGCCTATCCAGAAAACCATTTAGTTGGATCCCACTCCCTAATGACTTTTGAACATACATTTCAAAAGCATCAGCTACTCTGAACCAGTTAGCCCATTATTTAAAAAAACTTAAATGTTTAAGTGAATTCTGGAAAAGAACGAGACACGCTTTTTCAGGTGTAGCAGTATGGTTATGTCACACACTCTGAGGGTCACTTTGGTTCCACATCAGTTGACAGGGGTTTGTCCACCTTTGCATATCATAACACAAAGGACAGCTTTCCCCAAAATGGCACCCTTCACAAAGGTTGAACCGCATCTCCCATTTTCTACAGCATGACCAAAAGCCTGAAGAAGCCTGTATGTGCATTGAGCTGAACATGCTTATAATCCTCCTTTGTCTGGGAATTCATCCCAGTTCCCAATTGTGGGACCCCATGTTCAGCCAAACATGCTTACAAGCCCTTATGCAGATGTCTGTGCTCAGTGTGAAGGGCATTGGGCGTATGAGGATGTGCCCGATGTTGCCCCCTCCCCAGTCTTGCTATGACTGTGCTTCACAGTACTCTTATTTTGGTTACTTCTTCCCATTTGAGGAACAAGGCCATCCAACGGCACAACTGAGACACCTGGTCTAATGCTGGGCCCCAGCTGGCCTGCCTTTTTACTTCTTTTTGTGCATTGCGCATTTTCACAAGCCATCACCTGAACACACGCAAAGAGGAGAGCAGTCTGTGCTAACTCTGCTCTTCGTGTCCCTGCTGGCTGCAGCCTTCTACCTCCACATATTGAGCAGTAAGGTCTGAAGGGTGACTATTTATGGTTGGAGCTGACTACACCTGCCCTACTCAGGCATTTTATATGTGGGTAAAAGAAATGGGTGCAGAAGGACGGGGGATAAGCATGGCTCCTCTGCCCTTCTGTTTATTTTCATCTCCTTCCACATGTACAGATGGCACTTTGAAGGGGATATCCTGGGCCAACTGCATAGGAAGTTGGAACCCCAGAAAAACAAGTTAGGCTCTCCCCTTAAAAAAGTCGTCCTCAACAGAAAAATCTGAGGAGTGGGTGGGCTAGTGTATTTGTCCCTACTGCACCCTTCTCACATGTTTGCATGACATTTAAAACACCAGAAAAGTGATTTAGAACTCTTCATGCATTTGGAATCCCTGAGATCAGATTTCCCCATTGTGTGGCGGAATCCCTGCTGAATGTGCAAAAGTCTGAGGCTACAGCAAAAGGAGCCAAGAAAATTAAAGATGGGGTTAGCACACATGGCCCTGCTTCTCCCTCCTTATATTCTCAGTGCACACATGAAGAGCAAAGCTTAAAGTGGTCTGTGGTCTGAATTAGTAATGGGAAACCTACATTGGCAAAATCCCCATTTTCTTTTGCAGCATGTTTCACACGAACAGTATCTACATCCAGCAAGTGTCAGATCCTCCCATCCAGAATTTGGCTTGAGACAGGTCTGAGTTTGCCCTGGTGGAGCATCTTCAACAACAAAAAATACAAAGGGGAAGCAAATCTGTTGGGGGGTTTTGGAACCGTCCACAGCGTTACAGACAACTGGCCACGGTATTCTTAATTCTAGGCCAACTTCAGGGGCTGCTTTGGAGGAATCTAGTTTTTACCTTGTGGGCTGGTTTCAATCCACTGGGAAAATTAGAGTTGGGAAATTAAAGTTCAACTTCTGTAGCAGCTGTTTTGTGGAGTCCCACAAGAATCTATTTTGAACTTGTCCCTGGCGCTATGCAGCTCCTACATGAAATAACTCAGAGGGGATGTTTGGGAATTGAATGCTGATGAGATCCCAACTTGGATCCAGGTATAGAGCTAGAATTCTGAATATCTGCCTGAGGTCAGCGATGGGCTGGAGAAGGTTCAGCGCACTGAGATTCAGTCCTGAAAAGACAGGGTTGGTAGCAGGGTAGCGAGAAGCCAGAGCATCATCCTTCGCAAGAGGAAGGGAGGATGGGTGTGTGCCGTGGTGTCACTGGAGGGTGATGTATATGTATTTAAAAGAGGGCCTGATTGCAAATGGATTGGGCCACTGTTCCTGAACTGAGGGCATTTGAAAATACATTCGCCAATGACAGGCCAGCACATACAACGTGCCACTTAACTTTTGTTAATGGAGAGCAAAAAGCAAAGTTTGAATGGGCCCCTGGTGACTATGTAGCCAGGTTCAGCTGTTTTCTAAAAAACAAAAGTTGCGTGTGAGACGCCCAAGTCGTACTTTTCAAGCGCAAGTTTACTCAGAAGTTATTTCCATGTTCTCACTGTGTACAGCGGGATTTGGGCAGCGATTCTAATACGGGTCAATGCCTGGAACGAAGTCTCAGTGGACTGGAAGACAAATGAACAACACCCCCACCCTGGTATGTATCCACAGTTACTCCTACTTCGATTGAACCCACCGAAATGAATGGAACTTAAATGAGGCCAAAACGGACCTCCATGGGAGGGCTCTCCCGCAAACGGTCACGTGCCTTCTCCTGGGAAGGCACCCCGTTCTTCCCGTGCCCCCGCGCCGATGTGAGCGCCGGGGAGGGGAGAGCCAGGCTGGTCCTTCCGCCCCCCTCCCTGGAAGTCCCCCTCGCCCTTCCTCCCGCTGCCGTGCGAGGATGCCCAAGAGGCGGCGCGCATCCCCATCCCCCCCCCCCGCGCTCTGGGACGACCGCTCGCCCCGCGGCGGCGCAGGCTGAGCCGCGGCTGGCCGGCGTGAAGCGAGGTGCGCGTCCACCAGGAGGACTCAGAGGCGCCCCGCCCCGCCCCTCTGCAGGCAGCCTCTGCCGCGGCCAGTGTGGGGCGCGGACTCCGCTTGGAGAGGGCGGCGCGGCAGCGGGAGCAGCGGGAGCGGCGGCGGCTTCTCCCTGGGCCGGGCGCGAGCGCGGTCGTCGGTCCGCCGGGCAGGCAGCATCCCTGGGAACGCGGGCACAGGCGCCGCCGCCCGCGAGCAGAAGACGACGCGAGGGAGGCGACAAAGGGCTCTTTGTGCGGCGGAGGCGGCGGCCCCTTCGTCCTTCTCCTGGCCGGCGCCAGCATGGGGGCAGCCAGCGCCGCCTTCCTAGCCCTGCTGGCGGCGTCCGCGCTGCTTCCCCTCGACGCCGCAGGTAAGAGCTCCGCGCCCCGACGGCTGCCCGCCCGGAGGCTGGAGCGGCGCCGGGTGCGCCCTGCTCCAAAGTAGCCCCGTGGAACGGCGTGGCCTGAACGGCGCGAGGCGCAGGGAGCGTCCTACTCCGGAGTAGTACTTCGAGTCGCCCCACGGTGCCCGCTTACCTTAGCGGAGCCCTTCGGACTTCGGCGGGGCAGCGTGCCGGGTAGCCGCTAACTCCGAGGGGACGGGTAGGATTGCTCTAGAGTTTCCGGACGGTTGCTCTAGAGCACCCTCATAGAAGCCGGCATTGTGCAGGGGCACAGCGTGCTTTTTGCAGCGGAGTAGCCCTACCCTTCTGCCGAGGCAGCTCGATTAACTCAGTCGAAAAGCCCCGTGGCGTGGCGGGACACTTGCTCTCAAGGAGTTCTGTTGCACGCTCTCCCCGAGGTCTCAGGCGGACGAAGGTGGCCCCGTGCTTTAGTTTAGTGCGAACTAGAAATCCCTGGGATCGTGCCCTCCTTAAAATGGGTTCGCTAGGTCGGTTTGGAGCCGACCTTTGTATGCTGGGTCGGAAGTCAGCCCTATGGAGTGCAGTGGGAGGCTTGCTCTCAGCAGAAGCCGTGCTTCGAACCGCCTCTCGAGGCTCTGTTGCTCGCGAGTAGCCTCATGTGTGTACGTAAAGGATCGGGGTTGGGTCGCTTCGTGAACTCCCTGTCTCAGAAGCTCCGTGGCTCTGAACGAGGAAACAGTTCCGAAAAAGCCATTCAGCGTGGCCCTCTTCTATGGAGAGTTAGGTGCCTTTGAGAATTCAAGGGGCTGACCGGCTACCAGGCAGTCGTGTTGGGACGGGAGTTGTGCAAGCCCCTTTATCTCCAAAATCCCAACAGTGCCAGCCTTCCCTCCCTTTCTCCCTTTGAAAAAATGCTTCATGCGAAGTAGAAATCTAGCACAACTCTTTGCAGAGCGGTGTGGAGAACAGAAACGATGGGGATGGTCGTTAGAAAAGTTTTGGGGAAGCGATCTTTCTCCGTCCAGTGCTCTCTCCTGTTTCTCCCTTAATTCTGTTGGAGGCATAAAGCGGGATGCACGGGCGTGGGGTGGGGCGGGGCGAGGTGCCCGTTTAGAGAGGAGGGGAGAAAATGGGGGGGGGCTTATTTTCTTTGATCGTGTGGCATTTTCTGCGGGAGACATTTGCTTGGGCAGGAGAGTGCCTGTGTTTCAGAGGAACCCCAAATTAACAGAAAGGGCAGCCCGCTTGCCTCCTTTGCAGCGGCTTTCGGGTGTTCTTGGGCTGTCGAGTGTAGCCAGAGGCCGATGAGGGGGCAGGGGAGGTTGTGTGTGTGGGTGTGAAACAACAGCACTTACGGGCTTGAAGGGGTCTCCCCCCCACCCCACCCCCGTCTTCCGTGAGTTCTTGTGTTTTTGGAAAGTCCCATTTCCTGTGTGTTTACCTGGTTGATCTACTCCAGAAAGAAAGCCGAAAGAGGGGAGGCTGTGGGGGTCAGGAAACATTAGGACTTGGTTCAACAAGCCTCGCGATTGTTTTTAGAGAGCCTGAATTCAAGCGGCCCTATTAACATCTGACCTTGCGCCGTGGCGGACTGCCTGGGATTGCTGCCGCTGAGCTGTTGCCAACTCGTCCCGCATCCCCCCCCCCCGCACCTAACAGCAGCAAGATTTATGGGAGAGCTTTGGAGAGGGAGGAGTGGGGAGTGTGTTGAGTGAATATGAGACTCTGGTGGAAGACTTAACAGTCCTTGCAAAAGCAATTGCCTGACTTTGCATTTTATGTCCAACTGTGAGTTTGTGGCGCTTTCTTCTCAGGCGGACGAAGGTGGCCCAGAGCTTTAGTTTTCCTCCTCGCTGTGAAGTGACGCTGCTGCTAGACTTGGGCTGCCCCTTTGATCCCTGAACTGAATCATTGGATGTGCAATCACCTCCCTCCTCTTACACTTCCAAGAAAACATGTCTTTTTTACACTCCTCTCTCTGACCTGGTATGCTGAGCAATGGCAGAGATGATTTAGGGCATATTTCTAGGCATGTTTAGACAGAAAAAAATCCCTACAATTCCCAGCATAGCCGACTGGGGCCTGCTGGGAATTGTAGTACCTTTTCCCTTTCTTTAAATATGCACAGGACTGTGACCTACCTATATCTTTGTCTTTCTTTGTCTCTCCAGTTGTGCTCTTGCTTGTGCTCAATCACTTGGCGGTCCTACAATCCCAAAGCTAGCCCGTGGCATTTCCATTATTTTATTTTTTTCAAAAATGTTGTTGACTTTGCTTGCCCCGAAGAGTAATAAGAGAATCTATCTCAGTGGAGGAATCAAAAATTAGAGATTCCTTACTTCAGATTAGAGAGAACTTGTTAAGCAGTTCCATGTTTAAAGAATTTTTTCTTCCTTGTGTTGAATGTTCTAATCCATTTACCTCTCCCCAGGAGGTGACAGATGCCTCGATTTCCTGTTATTCGGCTCTGGGGTCCCATGGCCTTGCCATTTGTTGCTTTATCTTGGGGAGGAAGATAACATTTCTGAGGGGTTTTTTTTTTTTTTTGAGTTGGGAACCTTATGGCTGCCTTGAAGGACTGGGCACTTGTGGAGGGCAAGATTGCAAAAATCAACAAGAGCAGCATCAAGTTGTGAATATCCTGGGGGGTTCCATTTTTGTTGCTTATATGACTTCCCAGAGATGGGGGAAGAGGATTGAAATGCCCTGAAATGTGGAGATGACTGCAAAATGATGGAGCATTATGTATGCAGACTCCATAAAAAGGACTTGGGGATGGCTTAACTGAGGATGACAAGCATGCTCTGTTTTCTGGAGTTCTTGCCCCAAAGTGAGATATAACCTTCCAACCCAGCCTCCCTGTTTCCTTTCAACAGCTGGATCTGTTTTAAGGCGGCCAGCAGTGAAGGGCATAGAAGAGTTCTCCCACTCCCTCCTCTCACTATGAGAGGGTCTCCTTTCTTCACCGATAGATTTTGAACAGTTCTAAATTTCCCTTTCTTGGTATCATAATGGAACCTTGTTCTCTTAACAAGAGTTACTTTTGCTTTGATAACATTACTGACCTTTGAACTCTTATGAATCAAATGCTTATTTCTGCTTTCCTTAAAAAAAGTTGTTCTTGAGAAATGACATCTTAGCAATACAGTGGAAATATTTAAACAAGAAATAAGCAAAGTTGGCTGTGTCCCCTTGTGCTTCCTTTACTTAATCTTATCTCTTTCTTTCTTTCTTTCTTTCTTTGAAGTACTTATTTTTAAAGAATCCTATGTTTTTTACTCTCTGTGGGAAACTTCCTCAGAGTTGTTAACAGTGCAGTCCCTTTTTATCTACTCAGTAGTCCCATTGAGTTCACTGAAACTTACTTCCAGGTAAGTGTATATACAGTTGCAGTCTAAAGGACCATTTCTGAGTAGTGGTCACACTCTATTTACTAGGAAAATAGCTGTTCATGAATTGATTATAAACATCCATTTTGCTGAGCTTATGGATAGGAAGATGGGGGCATTTGCTTTGTTCTGGGCATAACATAATATCTCTTCATGGGGATGTGCTGGGAGCTGGTAATTCAAGGGACAAAGAGTATCAGCTGAACTACTACTGAATAGCATAGAAAAAATTCACATATGTTAGTGGTTTACCTTTACAAAATCTGTGCTACCAGGACCAGCCTCTTAGAATATCCATACGGGTAGCTGTATCAACTGTATCAGATGTGTGTTAAGAGTCATGGGACATGGGGGGGCACATGGGATGACTCCAGAGTTTTTAGGGCTCTGGAACCAGACACCCTCAATGGTCCCTAACCAACATTGTCACTGGCTGCCATTGCTCCTTACCTTCATTGAATTTGTAGCCTGCCTTTGCCCTCTCCTCCATGGAAACAAGGCCACTTCCATTATCCCTGCCTCATTTTATCCCAGGGGTCTCAAACTCGTGGCCTGTGGGCCAATTGCGGCCCGTGGGACGATATTTTGTGGCCCCCACTTGATATCAAAGTTTAGTGATAGCGCGGCCCACGCGTTTTCCTCACATGCACCTGCGTGAGTCTTTACCCTGGGCGCAATGTTCCCTCTAAGCTGCGTGCCAGGATGGATGGGACAGGGGGAGGGGCCCTGCAGCCTTCAAAGCACCGGCGGCGCCCAGGCCGGCCTCCGGATGAGCGGCCCCCCACCCCCGCGGTGGTGGAATACTTGATGCCGCCCAGCCTCACCCAGACTCTACTTCCAGCGGCCCCCGGGTAAATTGAGTTTGAGACCCCCGTTTTATCCCCACAATAACTATGTGAGGTAGGTGAAAATTAGATCAAGTGATTGGCCCAAAGGGTCTTCATGACTGAGTGGGGACTAGTACCCAGATCTCCCGAGTCCTAGTTTGGCACGCTGATCACCTGACTACATTTGCTGTCTTCATTCTCTTCACTGCTGCTGCTTCTGTGCTTTCTTGACAGGCAGAGAGCCAGTAAGCAAGTAGGCAGTGGCATCTTCTGCTCCTACTCTTCACCACCACCATCACTGGTTGGACCAGTGTAAGAGGCAAGAGGACAAGCAGGTGAAGAAGAGGAGCAAGTCCTGAGCTCCTGGTGGGGTTTTGGTCCACTGATCCTGGGCCCAGACATAAGCCCAGTTTAAACATGAATGGGGTGGAATGCATGCTTCATGAGCCCCTAGCATTTTTCATGTAGCTATATGGCCACCAGGGATTCATCCAGTCACACAATAGCTGTTATTTTTGAGGAATGTTAAGTTATGTAATTGGAACCTCCGCACAATCAGACATTTCCTTATAGGTCCCCAAAGTCTTGATTTTCTTGGTGGAGTGGGGCATCAATGGATTAGAGACAAAATAGAGTGCTAAGCAGACTGCTTATTAGCATGTTTGCTCCAAAATGTATGCCATTCACTGCTGTGGAATTTACTTATTTCATGTTGTACAATCACCTTAATCATAGGTACAAGGCCACATGGGAGCTGGTTTTGTTTTGTTTTTTGTTTTGGTATAAACTT